GTAGTAGTAGTAGTAGTAGTAGTAGTAGTAGTAGTAGTAGTAGTAGTAGTAGTTGTTGTTGTTGCTGTTATTGTTGTTGTTGTTGTTGTTTTGGGGGCCAGGTGGGGGTGAGGTGGTAGTGTTCTTTGTGTTACCTCGTAGTTCCAATGTAGAAAAGGTGACCATGTCAAGACTTGCGTTTCATCCCACCAGAGAGGCGGTTTCGTGAAGTGCCGTGTGCTGAAACTGATACGATCTTTCTCCACGTGGTACTCAACGTCCATCTCGTCGGACAAAACGCTAAAGCGCGCCCGGGCAATATTCTCGTTGGCCGGTACTTCCGGGTTCCGCCGGAAGCACTCTTCAATGACCTGCACATGACATGGTTCAGAACCTTCTTTAATCCTTTTTCTGACTATTGTAACAGAGTGGGTGAGATTTAAAGTTATTTCTTGTAGCACTGTCGATATTATCAGACAACCTTAAGATAATAAGTCACATTTTATCAGCTAATCTTAAGATAATAAGTCAAATTTCCATTTAAAAGATTATCAATTTTCAAGACGCCAGATAGAAGAAAGATAGCCACCAATATGAAAAAATACAAATCATTGACGGCCTCCATCATCGCACTCTTCGGCTAAGTACGTTCGGTGAAAATGGTAAGATATTGTCCAAAAATATAGTATTGTATTAGCCATTAGTATGATGCAGTACAAGATAAATTTGAAGTGCCATGCCAATAGTCGAGATTTTAATCTAACTTTCGTGCGGATATTTTTTTCTCCTTCTTCCTGTGGTATTTCCTCCCAAGTTGGTGTCTTGCCCAGACCTCCGTTCCCAAAAGGACGGATGTACCTTGCCTCTCAGAAATCGTGAACTCCACTAACCATCCAAACGTGCAAAATTGTAAGGTTTAACACTCTTTGCAACACTGTAGGACTATTTAAGAGGCAGGACCTCCGAATTGAACGTGCGTCTCCGTAGGTTCGAGTCAGAAGGGAAAATTCGTGTGAAGTATGTTTCCCAAGGACTCAACGTCGGGCGGAACTAAGCCTCGAACCCCGAGATCGTCATTTTTTACGATAATGAGTCCAGTAGCTTAACCACTAAACAACTGACACCATCGGAAACAATCACGGACAATAAAACTTTACAACAGAGAGACACATGCAACACCAAAACAAACGGCATTCGTTGATTTTTTTTTTTATAACAAGAATGTTCTTCAAATTTTGCACAAGCCTCTGAAAGAGACATCCCGTGAAAGAATTATGTCATTATGAATACAAAACCCACAAAGTCCGATATTTCCAGAGTTATTTTCAAATCTTCAAATCAGTAAAGACTTAAAGACAGCATTGGAAAAAAAAACTGCCCACAATAATTTTGTTTACCTCAATTGGTCTCGCATCTTTGGATGCGGAGCTTTCTCGAACTTTCCCTAGTGGGCCGAAGCGGACTTCCTTATAGTACTTCTTATCTTCTCTGAACTCGCCGTAAAACAGCTTCATAAAGTCGGGACCCTCCTCCTTCCTTTGCAGCCCGTCTCTTCGCCCGCCTTTCTCGAAGACTAAGGTGCGCTTTGACTGAGGACCAGGAGTCTGCGCGTAATAGTCGTGAACTGTAGCAAAATAACAACAGAATAACATATTTATAACTACAACCACGGTAAAATTAACAAAAACAACAACAACAACAACAAATACTACTACTACTACTACTACTACTACTACTACTACTACTACTACTACTACTACTACTACTACTACTACTACTACTACTACTACTACTACTACTA